GGGAACTTTTTGGAGTGATGGGAATAGTCTCTGTCTTGGTTAGGGTGAGAGTAACATGGGAACATACAATTGTCAAACCTCACCAAGTTGTACATTTAGATTCTGTGTAGTTGACTGTATATAAGGGACTGCAGTGAAGTTTGTCTAAAAAGTAGTAACAAAAATTACCTCAGTTATTATATTTCTTTCACTGACATGATTCTTAATCAGAATCATTTGACTTGCACATTATTTTAACAGTTGGTTTGATGCTGAAGGTGATGCATTGGTTTGTTCCTGTCTTAATTATGTAACACCAACCCAGTCCAGGGATAGATGCTGGCCCCAGTGACATGGCAGGAAGGGGAAATGGGCCAGTCAGGAAAGCCTCTGTGTCAGAGACAATTACATGTTTACTACAATCTCTTCCCTCTTTTCCCTGGACTCGAGGTCAGACTCCTGGTAAGGCCTACCAGTCAGTGTGTATAGCCAAGAGACTGAGTTCTGGTTTGTAGAAGGTGAGCAAAAGTGATGTTTGCCCTTCCAGACTTGACCCATAACCACCGATCGCTTCACAGTACTCCATGCCCTTTTCCTCTTCAGACTCCTGATTAGAGGCCAACTGCAGGGCATTGTTGGGAGCCATAACCTGAAGGTGGGTGAGCCACAGGATGGAAGGACCCGTGTCTCCCAGACACCACTGGAGAGCAGTCACCCCACTGGATTTGGAGAGAAGTCTCTAATATCCTCCTTTCAGTCCCAGTTGTAGTCTGCTTCTTTGATTCTCTCAGCACTCAGTGTTCTCTGGGGGAAATTCTAGATTCTCATATTTTACTCCTTCTTAATAGGGAAAAGGCCTTTACGTACGTACATGTGAGGCAGAGCAGATCAGGACAACAGAGCAGGCTGAAAACGGTAAGACTCCATAGGAAAAGGAAGGCCTTGCAGAAGACTAGAGTTGTCAGGTGTCAGCTGTCAGGCAGCTGAGGGAGATGGGCACTGGAGTCAGGATGGGTCCTCGGGCATGCCAGCGCCCACCAGAGCCTGGCAGAGCCACTTAACGAAATTGAGAAAAAGCTCGACCTACCACAGGCACAGAGGATCGGGCTGAGGATGATGGGTAAATCAGGGGTTAACATCTCCATTGTATCGATGAAGAAATTAAGTTTTATAGAGATTAAAATATTTGTCTTTGAATCTAGTACAGTACTTAGTTCATAGTAGATGCACAGTAAATATTTGTTGAATGAATGATTTACTAGTCTAACTCTTAATGTTGAAGCCTTCTACAGGGATTGAGAACTTATCTATTTGGTGGTGTATAGAGGGGTATGGCGCTGGTACCCAGGATGGACACACTGTGTTTGGATATGGTATTTGAAAAAAAAAATTTTTTTTTAAAGATGTTATTTATTTATTTGGCAGAGAGATACACAGCGAGAGAGGGAACACAAGCAGGGGGAATGGGAGAGGGAGAAGCAGGCTTCCCGCGGAGCAGGGAGCCTGATGCGGGGCCCGATCTCAGGACCCTGGGATCATGACCTGAGCCGAAGGCAGACGCTAAATGACTGAGCCACCCAGGCGCCCCGGTATTTGAAAAATTTGAATGTTAGTGTGCTCCCTGCTTGGCCCTAGGCCCTATCGTGCCTGGTTGCCTTATAACTCACCCAGTTTCCACGTTGATGTCACCCATCTGTCTCCTGTGGGCTGGCTCGTCTGGAATCGCTTCTTCCACTTTCCCATTCATAAGTCACCTTCTAGAAGGAGCTCATTCCTAACCTGTTGTTTTGCCTTCTCCCATCTCTTTCCTGCCATTGCCTTCCCATCCTTTCTGTCCCCTTCTCTGTCCACATATGTCCTCTGGATTTTCTCATGCTTTTTAATGTTATAAGCGGAAATTCTTAGACCATGACGCCTAATATGATGAGCTAGGAAACCTAAGCATCAAACGGAGTCAAATCAGGTGTACCATCTACAAGTCTGTGTTACACGGATTTAAATATTCAAATAAATATTTATTTAAATAAATAAATATTGTACTGTGTGGTTAGTAGGCAAATGAGCAGTGTTTATAATTTATATTTAACGCAACCTCTATCAAACTGTCCTATTTTATAGTTACTCTGCTTTTATTCGCTGCAGTTAACTACCTGGGCATCGAGTCATTTTATCGTATTGTTTTCTTGTCTGCTGAATGAGGAGTTAGAAGGCGTCGTGTCTGTTCTGAACAAAAGATGTACAGCAGCTGTACTCTCAGTTTCAAAGTGGAAAAACCTCTTTATTGATAGTATAAAAATATAGTAGAAATGGAAAGAAGAAAAGGGAAATCTGCACATAGATGAGAGCAATGGTAGGCAGTAAAGGAGAATAAGGCAAAGCTGCGTCAGCCCGGGTGCTTACAACGTCCAGCCTCATCAGCTGCGGAAGCCCCGTGGAGACGGCCAGGCTGGAGTCCCGGCTGGGAGCCCCGGGCAGAGCGTCCTCCCCTCGGCTGAGACTTGCCACTGACCATCCCCATAAGGGCCACCTTCAGAGGGTGAATAACAGGGTCTGCAGTCAAACATTTGTTCGCCTACGTGCAGTTCGGAGCAAGCTGCATTTCCATGTTCTCGTGTTTCTGTATTTTCAAGGAGCCCGGGCTCTGTGTGTCTGCCTCCCCTCGGGGATTCCATCCTGGGGGGCCAGCCCCGCAGGGAGCAGCAGGGGACGTGAGACAAGATTTGTAGCTCTTGGTGTTCGGAACAGAAGGGCCCGTTCCGACCTGGAGGCCAGCTCGTGTCCACTAACCAGGCTCCCGAGGTTACTCACACAGCACGAGTCTCACACACAAGTCCTGAGCCCGCTGTGCAGGTCGGGGTGGTCGGTTCTGCGGGACGAATCACAGGAACCTCCATCCATACAGTGCAGTGTGTGAGGAGCTTTCGGGGACGTATCCAGGGCTCTGTGCATGAGCACTATCTGGACAGGTACAACCTAGAGCAAGGGGAGTGGGGGGACGATGGCGTAGGGCCGGGTACAGGTTGCCTGGTGCCGACCAGGCAAAGTTCTCCCGGAAACAACTGTAAAAGCAGCTTCAGAACCTCCGTCCCCGGAGGCCACCAGAACCACTTTCCCTGGAAGTCCTCAGAGCACATCGTCTGGTAGAGCTGGACATCCTCCCCCTGTTCCTTTCTGGTCACTGTCCAAACTGTCGCCTTCTGACAGCCCTCCCCACAGTCAGCTTGGTTCCTCCTCCTGTGGGGCCCCGGGTGCTGAGGATTGCACCCTTTACCAGACACACACCCACAGGGCCTATGGGGACCGGGGTGCGGGAGGGAAACTCCCTCTGCCTGACTGTGCCCCAGCCTCCATGCATTTGGAACTCCACCAGCATCTTGCTTCTTGAGGAGGTGGCTCCTGGCACTGTGGCTGGGGTCTGCGGTCAGTCCTCCCCCTGTTGCTCACATTGGCTGTGACGGACACCCCCTGCTCCTGTTTCTGTTTGGCCACTGGATCAGATGTACTTTGACCACAGGACCTTTGCCTTACTTATAGAGAAAACCAAAACCAGTGGTAGGAACTCCACCAACATGGAATCCGATATATGGAATCTGAGAATATGGGAGACGGTGATGAGACTTGTTTCTGAACCGATGGGAGCGTTTTGTTTGTTTTAGAAGCTGGAAGACAGAATCACCAGCTTCCTAAGCTTTCTGAGTTCCGCTGAAATGTGAGCTGTCAGCCTACCTATTGCCTTTGTGAGTTGTGTAATAATCCAAACAGTATCTCATAAACCTTCAACTCCGTTGAAACCTAAATGTGTCATATTTGATAATGAGCAAAAATTACATTTATGACATAGGAGTCCCTTATATTTTCTTTGGATAACAGTAAAGTATAAAGGAAAAATGCATTTGCTTGGGAATTTTTAATATTTAGCCTAGCACATCTAGCCAACAGAGAAATCTGATTAAATGTTAGTTCTATTAAAGTAAGAACAGGCAGTTTGGAAAAAAAGAGGGGGTTTGCTTTGCTCTTTTGTTTTTTTTATACTTGTATAAAATAATACTTGTATATAATAAAACTTAAGTTTGAGGGAGCATTTTATTTCTAATAACCATTTTAAAATTATATGGTAATCTAAGTCATATGTAGCTAATGCCTTCATAAATTAGGAAATTCTGATACAATCAATACAGTAATATGATGAAAACTTCATGAATGTCCATAACCATACATATTTTAAGGAACCAATTCTAAAGGAGCTAGTATCAGGAATATTGTAAAATAATTAGGGCAGCCAAAATATTCTGTATTTCCTCCTGACAAAGCAGATGAGTGACTCTAAGTTTAATCAGACCAACAAGTTTGAGGAATTGTGCAACAGAATCAGTGATTATTATGAACACACGGTAATCTAACAGAAATGTTTGGTTAAGTGAAACAAAAGTGAGGATGTACTATGACGATGGAAAATATACTCAGATTGATAAAAAAAAATTATAAAAATTAGAATGTAATGTAAAAAAGTAAATATAGTTCTTCATTTTGTCCTGAATTTGATTTTTTTTTTTTTTTTTTTTAAGTGGGTGTCCTTTTTTCTAAACACTTAGGAACAGGGAACGTGAGGATGGTCAGAAGCCGCCCACTCAGCGTGCTCTGGTTTCTGGCCAGGCTGCCTGCAGCTCGAGGCTTCCCTCTGGTGGGCAAGTTTGGGAACGCACCGAAAATTCATCATCCCGTGTTTTCTTCCCTCCTTGCTCCAGGTGAGTACTTCCCTTTGGGTTTCTGTACTTTGCCCTCTTGAAGCCCAGCACCTTAACATTTTGGTATCACCCCTGTCTCACCTCCAGTCTAGAAGAATCAGCTTATTGTCCCTAAGAAGGGTCCCTGAAGCTGCAGAAAGTCTTACTTTTAAAAACATGCCTGGTGTGCATCCTAGCGTGGGTTGTAGGTGTTGTGGGGGCTGTTGGGGAGGCCTCTGGAATATCAGTGGAGGTGTTGGATGAGAGGCGAAATGGGCTGGAGGAAGGGGAGTGACGATGTCGGGGGAAACTGCTGGAAGCTCAGAGGATGGAGATGGAGCAGCATGTACTGAAAATGCACAAACAGGTTTTAATTGATCCTGTAGCACGTAACAATGGGCTCCTGCAGGCAGTGACAGTCTCTTTCCTTAGGAGAGGTTCCCTATTCTTACATTATGAGTTTAGCAGCAATTCTGCAGGAAATACTAGACTCCACAGCCTGGAGGAGTGATCTGCCCTTCCAGCTGCAGGCAGACTCTGTGCTCAGTGGTGTGGCCCCCAAGGCAAGGCCATGAAGAGCTTAGATTACTGATAAGCAGGAATATGAAAACATCGTGAAATTTCAGGAGGAACACGGGTGGCTCCTTTTTGAGGCATAATATTGGCCAGTGGCCTGGTTCTTAGACTGTCAGGAGGGGAGGAGCGAGCCCTGAGATTCCAGTGAGACCAACACTCCTCCCCCGTTCCAAAGCGAGGAGCATTCTCTCTAATGAGGCAGTGGGGTTTCCAGCTTCAGGACTCTTGACCCCTCAGTTTCTTCCTTCAGTTGAAAAATTCAAGACCGTTGTATTTTATGATGTTGCCAAGGCACAGATTGGAATTCTACTCAAGGATGCTGGCAGTTCAAGGTGGTGGTCGTGGAGTCTTCATTCTTGGTTCCTTGCATAATCACTTATAAGAAGTAATAAAAGTTTAGTGTAAGTATGGAAAAAATGGCCATAAAATGAGGAACAAAATTTTATTGATGGTTGAAAAGTGAGTTAGTTGTGATTTGGACTAACTGCCTCCCGTGTTCTCTTTTGTCTTGAGCTCTTAATTCTCTAGATGGTGGGGTATTTCCTTTTCCCAGGGAGCTTTGGGGCTCCTTGATGCTCATGTGTAAATATCCCCTATTATCTTCCAAAGTTGCAACTTGTACTGAAATTTCCAGGCCTGTGGGGAAGAGTAAAGATATTTCTACGTCGTCCCCTTCCCCCATGCCCCTGCCAAACTGTGTTTTGAACCTTTGTTCGTATTTTTGAATGGAGTTAAAATCAACATGTGTAGAGAAAGCCCAGCCCGTGGGCTTCATAGAAGCTGGTAAATGACAACATCAAAGCCAGTGTGGATTTGAAGTTAGACTAACCAAGTGACAAACCTTACAGAACTGCAAATCACAGTAAACGGTAAGGAAGTTTTCTTATGAATCAAACAGAAGCCACATGATGTTTCAGTGACATTAGTACTCGGTAGAGACTCCCACTTTGGGAGTCTGATCCCAGACTGTTTTTACCCAGTAAAGTTCAGTGTAGAGCTCTGAACATGGAGGGAATGAGCAAACAAGCAAGCCTGCCTGATAGTTTTTGCCCCCACTTGGGTGAGAGGAAGCCCAGAGGAAGGCATTTATTGAGAACATTCTCTGAAAATAATGGTGTGTCAATAAATGTTTAATGGCTCTCAGGAAAACAAACAAGAACCCTCCCCCACACACACACACAAAACCCCTTTAATTTGTAATGCTTGCCCATTTCTGTGGTGAAACTATTTCCACCACAGTGGATTTCAAACTAGCAGTGACTGAATGTGGAGTTAGTTACAAAGCAATGCACAGTAGCCCACGACGTAGTATCGCCGCCACACAAGTGATGTGAACAACCCCATGAGTAAGGACAATAGTGAAATAATGAGATGTGGGGTATCAATTAACTTTTTTTTTTTAAGATTTTATTACAGCGCAAGGGAGCACGAGTGGGAAGGAGGGGCAGAGGGAGAGGGAGAAGCAGACTCCCTGCTGAGCAGGGAGCCCGATGCGGGGCTCCATCCCAGGACCCTGGGATCATGACCTGAGCCGAAGGCAGACGCTTAACTGAGCCACCCAGGCGCCCTTAACTTCGCTTTTTATATAAGCTATTTAATTGTAAGTTTATATAATTCAATTTTTAATAATCGTTGAGTTTAAACAAGCAGCTCTCAAAATGCCTGAAGGCTTAGCAGGTGGCCCCGGCGAGCGGTGTGTGTAGCCCCCACTCAGCTAGTGGCACTCTTTGTCGTTTTTGTTCCGTGTAAATGATCTACTCCTGTGAGGTAGGGGATGCTATGAAACTCCAGTTTGTAGCCAAGAATTCCAGACCTATGGGACATGAAGCCGACTGTCAAAGATCAGTGGCCAGGAAGTGCTAGAGCGGGTGTCTGAGCTTCATTCTCTGCCCCTCCCCCCCTTTGAGTCCTGGGCAGTTTCTGTCCCCTCCTTCCTGTTAGCTGGTCCGCAGGTTCTCCCTCGGGACATTGGATTCTATAAGTATCTGTCCTCTGGTGGTCTTCCAACCCCAGCTCTGTCCTGGAGGAGGATGGCCAGACCAGCCAGGGTGACGAGCCATGGGAAGCCAGGTATCTTTCCAGGGCCTGATAGTGAGGGCTCTTTTTAGGTCCATTGAGTTCTGGGAAGGATGGATCTGTTTCAGCCCTGGGGGATCCTAGAGGCTGGACAGTGATGTAGGAGGTAAAGGGGGCTGCCTCACTGAGGACATTGGAGTGAAATCTGAAAGAGGGTGAGGGAATGAGCCCTTGTGATATCTGGCGGCAAACATTCCAGGTAGACACAGTGATCACTGCAAAGGCCCCAAGGCCCCCAGGGACTGCAAGGCCCGTTATTCCTGGGTGTAGTAAGCAAGGGGGCGCCCCCGGGGGCGTGGTCAGGGTGACAGTGTGAGGTGCTGGGGGGAGGGGGCAAAGCTTGTATAGACGGAGCGGTGTATTTGCAGTGCTGGGCATGACCCATTAAGTATTCATGAAATCAATTTACTGGGCTGCTGCCAAGTATTTCTGGATGATAGAGCAGAACACAGAGAAAACAGCACATAAAAAGTCAAATCAGGGTAAGTATTGTTTAATGAAATACTTGTTTTGCTTTTGTGTATCTTTGCTGTGACAAATAGTTCTTACCGAGTGGAATTTTAAAAATAAATGCTTAAAGCCCTGGTCTTCAGACCTTGTAGGAACACTGGGTTTTATACTGAGTGGGAAGGGAAACCATTGGCAGGATGTGAGTCAGGGTACACGAAAGAACACCCTGTCCGCTGTGTTGGGAGCGGACTGAAGAGACGATGCTGGAAATAGGAAGACCAGTTGGGAGGCTGTTGCCATGGGTCCAGGGGAGAAATAAGGGGGTGGAGTGACCATCTTAGGACAGGGGAGAGCCTGTGGGTGCGGTCTGGAGAAAGACTGAACCATTGGTGTTGGACATGCCAGGGTTGGGTTGCCTCCTGGAAGTCCAAGGGGCAAAGTAAGTTGGCAGATTCTAGAAGTGCATATGTAGTATTTAATTAAGCTTACCCAAAGAGAGGTCTGGCCTTTGCCCTTGGCTGCTAGGAGGTGGTCTCTAGGCCCTTGGAGTGTCCTTCCCGATAAGAGTGTCTTTGTTTACCTGGTGGCCTTGGCCACTGCACAGTCAACAGTATAACTCCTAATGGGAGCTTTGGGCCACACAGGATCTGCTCTTCCTCCAGGGCGGCTGAGGACGGTGGGTCAGCCATGTGAACATCAGTCGTGGAGCTCCAGAACTGTGGGAAAATACATGTCTGTGTAAGCCCCCCAGGCCGTGGTGTTTTGTTGGGGGCAGACCAAGCAGAGAAGCACACAGTGCAATAGAAAAATGGGCAAGAGATGCAAAAGAAAACCACAGTGAGGTACCACTACACATCTGCCACAATGGATAACATTTAAAAAGGCTAACAATTTTAATAAAAAAAAAATAAAGAAAACTAGAAGGATGTGAAACAGGGATTTTCATCTAAATTTTACTCAATATTAGGTTTGTGAGGTTCATCCAGATGCTTATAACTATGGCTTTAATTTTCCTTTTTTGATTCCAGAGCAGGTAAACTGGTACAAGCCCTCTGAAAAAGTTTAGAGTTTGACCTAGTGATTTCTGATTCTAGGTTATAAACAACACACCTGTGTCCACATAGGTGCCAAAACACACGTGCAGGAATGTTCATGGCATTGTTTGTAATCCCTGAAAAAGAGAAACAAATGTCTATCAGCAGTGGAATAGATCCCTAAATTGTGGTATATTCATAAAATGGAAGATTATACAATAAAAATGAGTCACAGTTCTATACAGTGACACAGATGAATCTGTCACACCTAATTTTCTGAGTAAAAGATACCAGGCACAAACGACTACCTTTTTTTTGATTTCCATTTTATATGAGATGCAAAAACAGCCAAACTGGATGACTGTGTCAGAAATCAGGATCGTGGGTACACTTAGGGAAGACGGAGGGGTTAGTGACTGGGAGCAGGTGTGGGCAGACAGGGAGAGTTGGTGGACGTTCTGTTTTTTGGACTTGTACAGTGGTTCAGGACTCTTCACTCTGTGATCATCCAGGGAGCTTTACATTGCTATTTTGTCACGTTTTGTTATGGTTTTCTCTTTATAGGTTATGTTTCTGGATTAAAAAAGTTTAAAGAAGGTAGGGGGTCATCTAAAGAATACGTCTTCCTTGAGAAGAGTTTTCAGCATCCAGAATAAACTTTAAAATCTCCGGTTTGCTTTCTGGGTAGGTTTAGGAGTGGCTTAACTGCTACTTACTCTTTTCATCTGTCAGTATCAAAGTACTGAATGAATATTTGATGCACAGTCAAGGCGCATGTAGCATATTAGCAGCATTATAAATAAAAGGATAAAATCAACCCACAAGATTTTGGGGGCAGTTACTACTGCCCTTGACTGAATCCTGTTTCCAGTGGTCCCCTTTCTACGCGGGACATGGGAGAGTACAGATCTATGGGTCGCTTCCCACGTCTCCACTTTAGCGCAGCCAAGCATCGCTAGGTCCTCTAGGAGCAGGGTCTAGGCTTGCACACTTGGACCTTGTGCTCTCTCTGAAGAGTTAGCAAATATGTGAGTGATCCTTTAAAAAACACAGAAACTTGTGTAAGTGTGGAAGAGGGTGGCTGCTTACAAAACCTACTTCGTCTTCCTCCGAGGCATGGGAATGAGAATACTTTACCTGCCTCCTTATCTGTTTCCTGTGTAGTTAGGATTCCCCATGTGGAAAGGGAAGCATGGTGCCCCTCTAAAGAGTTTGTAGGAAAGAATGATTAATTAGTTCAAAGAGAACACCCACTGATTCTAAGATTATAAAACTTATTCCAGTTTCTTCTCACTCGTTCGCCTTGAACGTGGCTCGATATAAATGTCAGGTGAAAGCACCCTGCCCTGAAGATATGATGGGCCCTTCATAGTTGATGGGGGTGCTGTGACATGAATTCAGAGAGCACAACACTCCCTGCAGAACTTTGCCAGACAGAAACAAACACTAACTGACTTCCAAAGCTTGGCTAGCTCTAAGCATTCCACAGTTCTTTGAAAAGCTAGAATTGTCTTATGATTGCCCTAAAATTGGAAAATAAGAACAGGAACGGTGGATGATCTTTACCATATTTTGGAAGGGATCATCAGTCCTCAATTAAAACAGCATGGTGCTAGTCCTTGGATAGATGGACTGATGCACAATAGAAAGTCCAGAAATTGACAGCATAGGAATTTTGTATGCCATAAAGACAGCATTTTTTTTTTAATAGGTTTCATGCCTAGTGCAGAGCCCAGGGTGGGGCCCGAACCCATGACCCTGAGATGAAGACCTGATCTGAAATCCAGAGTTGGACACTCCACCGACTGAGCCCCCGAGGTGCCCCATAGACAGCCCTTCTCATCATTGGGAGTAAAGTGTTGAGACAATGGGATAGTCATTTTTAAAACACCATATACTAGGATAAACTCCAAATAGATCAAAGACTGACATGTTAAAAAAAAAAACAAAAACAAAAAAAACCCGGATGAAAATACAGGTGAATTCCTTTGATTCTTGAAGTGGGAAAGACCCTTCTTAACTTATCAAAGTTAAAAGACAAATGACTGTCTGAAAAAACATTTTACAGCACCTGGTATAAAGGGCTCAGCTCTCCGATACAGACCCAGAGCTTCTGGAACCAAAATAAACCACTGTTCCTTTACACATGGTATATCACGTACCTGTGGAAAGAGATGGAGAGCTCTGGGTCCCATTACAGCCAGAGATCCAGGACAGACTGCTGAATGAGCAGCGGTGGAGAACTTGTTCGCATTATCCTGTGACAGGGCAAGAAAGAAAAGTATATATATGTTTTGTTTCTGTTTGCATAAAGAAACACCAGAAGGGGACCTGAGTGGTCAAGGTCAGTGATGTGGAACTTGACTTCTCAGTGTGTATCTTTTCATGTAATTTGGATTTTTGTATCAAACTATTTATTATAAAATGAAACGAAATAAAATAGATGGTGACCCGTGATAGTCTAGGTCCAATCACATTTCGGTCTTTAGGCATTTGTATTTATTTGTTTTTAAGATTCCATGATGATTATTTTACTGCAGCTTGCAAGGTTGCTTTTTACCCTTTGATATAGAAATCCCACTCCTGGAAACCCATTCTGAGACACACTTGAAAATGACTGTAGTTTCTGTTAAATAAATTTTTAAGATCCAGCAGGTGACTGGTGAACTAAACAATGACGCACACCCACTCTCGAATCCTGTGGGTAGTTGCTAGGCCACGATTTTACTGAACAACCATTTAGTAGTTAATACTTCGAGTTTAACCCAGTTCTATTTTTGTACGCAGAATAATTTTTCCCCTTAGATTTGCATGTACACATTTTCAAAGATCTGAAAAATAGGTTATGGTGTAAAGAAAAGAACAAACTCACCCCCCCCAATGTTCCCCCTTTTCCTTTGGGCACATAGGACACAATAAAACCTGCAGCATTAAGATGTGAGACTTCCCCTCCTCTCTTTTTTCCCATATATGTTCAATTGTAGGACTTACAGAGCCAAGCTCATTATCTGTCGTCAGTAATTTAAAGGGCCCACACTGATCTTCCATCAGCCCTGGAAATCCTGTAACTCCTGTGCTTTGCGCCTCTCTTTTCTTTCCTTTCAAAAATCCCCACAGGCAAGGACAATCAAATCAATTAGTAAATAACAGAATTTGTATGTCACCTGTTACCCACTTGTCTCTGGAAGATCTCTGGGACAGTGAGATGGATTTCAAGTCTCTACCGTCTTATATAGATGTTAGATCTGATTCTGTGGTCAGAACATCAAAACAGCAGACTCGGGATTGTGAAAGACCATAAGGGAGCATCTTAACCACTGGTTTTCAGACTTGATTGTGACCCCAATAAGACACGCATTCTTCTTCATGACCCAGCACATGCATACATATGCCTAACAACGGAAGTGCCCCAAACCTAAGTTCCAGGAAGCCATAGATACCTCAGTATGGCATGCTCTAATATGTTCGAATCTGTTCTATTACCAACAAGCCATGAAAAACACTGCTCTAATGCAACTTTTTTTTTTTTTTTTTAAGATTTATTTGACAGAGAAAGAGAGCACAAGCAGGGGAAGTGGCAGAGGCAGAGGGAGAAGCAGACCCCCCACTGAGCAGGGAGCTCGATGTGGGGTTCGATCCCAGGACCCTGGGATCATGACCTGAGCCGAAGGCAGACGCTTAACCATCTGAGCCACCCAGGCGCCCCTCTAATGCAACTTTTAAATTAGCAAACGGAAGCACAAAGAAGTAGAATAGTTACTCATCTTTATCGATGATGAATGGTCAGGACTAGGTCTCCTCTGCCCTTGAGGTTCGATGCCTCAGGACTTAGCACTTTCCTCTTTATACTCTTCTCTACCTCAGTCATCCCCTTGGCGACCTCACCCAGGTTCATGGCTTTACATGCCATCCATATACCAATGATTCCCAAATTGATAGTTCCACCTTAATTCAACTCAGTCCTCCCCAAACTATTCACAAAGCTGTCGGTCACCTCCATACTACTTAACCAAGAGACTATTCTCAGGCCTGCACTCAATTCAGTCACTCAGTCAGCAGCATTTGAAGCCAGTTGCCAATACCCCTCATCCAGTTGGTAATCTCACGGACTGAGAATTTCTGACTCCCCCCTTCTCCAGCTCTACCACAGCACACCTGCTTCTCTCTTAGATGACCGCCTTATAAAAACACATCTTTTTCTAGGTCGCTCTTTCAGCCACACTGCGTTTGAAGAAAATCATATATCAATATATTAAAGTCTAAAAGCTATTGAAAAATTTTCTAAAAGTAAAAATTTGAAGGTATCATTTAAAATAATGGAGATGCCAAAAATTAACAAATGTCCTAAAGGACAAACAATAGCTTAATTAAAACCAAGAACTAAAAAGGGATTCCTGCTAAATTATTTAACTTTACTTCGGAAATTCTCAGCAAATGCAGTACAAAAGGGAAATAAAATGCTTGGTATTCACATTGAGGAAGACAAAAAAAAAAACCAATATAAGTTATTTTGCTGATGACTAGGAAAGACTCAAGGGGCTCTATTTTAAAAAGTAACAAGACGTGGAATTACAGAAATTGGTAAATTCACTGCATACAACATATCAATATATTTCCTCCTTCCTAGCAGTAAGACCTAAAAAGGGAAATGAGCCTTCCATTCACAGTAGAAACAAGCATAGAAATTAATAAACATGACTTATGTGGAGAGATCAATAGAAAAGAACCCAGAAATCTTATTTAAGACTTTAATAACAGGAACTACAGTGGGAAAAACGGATGGATTATAAATTGTGTTAGGACAACTGGCCATCTATCTGGGAGAATGTAAACTCGGATTCTATCTTAAAGTGCATAAAATTTTAGATGGATTAGAGACTAAAAAAATTTTAGGAAGCAATTTTTAGAAGAAAACCTAGGCTGTTGGATGAATAATGGAGGGGTGGGGTTCAGTTTCTTAACCAAGAATGGAAATCTAGAAGCTTTAAAAGATAGGTTTCTAACATTTAATATTTGGGATTTTATATAGATCTTTATAACATTAAATGGAAAATCCACCGTAAACAAAATTAGTAAAAAATGCCAAAATTAGAAAGCTATCTGCAACAGAAGTGATAAGTAGTTCCTTACTATATAAAAAACACAATGAGACAAGAAAAACTGCCCAATGAAAAAACGAGCACAGGGATAAGTCTGCATTCTCTGAAAAGTGTATTCAAATGACCAATAAACCTAAAGAAAGGATATACTAGTGGCCATGATAATGCACATCAAAGTGACAATGTGAAGTAATTTTACACCCTTTAGACGGGCAGAAATTGAGCCCACACCTTGATGGCTGGAATGGATGCGGGGGAGTTCTTTTCAGGATACGTCAGCACCGACTGAAATATAAAATTCACTCTAATCTAGCAATTTCGGTGCTGGAACAATGTTGCACCAGCCAGCCGTGGTAAATGGAAACAATGTCAATGCTTATCAAAAGGAAATGGATGAATAGCTTATGTTACTCCACGTGGACATTAAAAAGAGGCTTTGACTTGAAAGGATTTTGGAAAGGCTTTAAGAAGCAGTTTGTATAAAGTCACCGTTTTATAAATAGCCCTCACCGAAAACCAGAAGGAGCAATCATGCATGTGTAGGATAGGTGCTCCCAAAAGACGGAGTTCAAAGAAATCATGAACAGCTAGCTACGCGCCAGTTTAAGGGACGGGGGAACAGAGATGTGAAGTGCCCGTATGGCAGATGTTATCGGATAGTGGGCTCGGAGCCCAGCAAGACAGTGCGGGAAAAAAAGATCACCTAAAAAACGGGAAAAAAAAAATATGTAGGGGCATATGTAAAAATAAGGCTTTACAACCAATTAAGCTGTGTTTAGTAACCCTGGCTCACCATATGGTGTTTTCTCCCCGGAGGTGAAAGATGTTACTAAAATCGGTATCCTAAAATTTCAAAAGCCTAAAGGGACAATTCTTTGAAAGTGTCCTTCCCTACTTAATATGGTATAGCACCACCAGAATTGAAAACACTGTACGCAATGAAATACGCTCTAGTCAGGTGCAGAGTGGATTTTCAAATATTAGCCAATCAGGGCAGCTTTGTTTCCCATAAACACAGAAGCCCGGTAAGGGCTTGTGGGCTTTGGCTCCAAACTCCGATGCAGCCAAGCTCCTTTGTCGGGACCACCGCCAAACTTGGGGGCAGCCAAGTCGACCCACGCGGAGGCGCCGCGCCAACAAAACCGACCTGCGCTTCCAGAGCTCGGCCGTCATGGCCCTGCAGGAGGCGTGCGAGGCCTACCTGGTGGGGCTCTTCGAGGACACCAACCTGTGCGC